TCAAACCTGTGTGAATAATAGATGCATAAAAAAACAATGTCTTACTTCAGTAACTAGAAGTTGCTGTTGATTTTTAACACCCCCTTGTACATCTTTAAGATTGTGTTAGTTGACAATTACCTGGAGAAGTCATCTTGTGTTGCTTTATCTCAAGAAGAGGAAGCAGATGTTAATGAATGCCTTTTGTATAAACACGCATATTTCTCAGGGTTTAGTACCTTTCCAGCATCTTCATCTTGCAGCGCACATCGGCAAATCAGTTACACAGCTAAGCTCAGTAAAGAGTCAGTGTATAGGCATATGATTCACAGTGTGAAGGAATACAGTCAAAGGAAATGTCATATTAAGTAGCTTAAATCAGACGGCTAACATATGTAGTTGTTGCCTTTTTATGTTTTTGAAGACAAATAAATGTTCACTGTAGTTAATCAGGTACCAAGAAAGAAGCATGTATTAAATAATGATTTGACAACTAAGGGAATACAATTATACTTCTAAAAAAAAATGATACAGTAAATCAAATACATGACTTGTGTTATCATCATGCAATAATAATATATATAATACAACTCAGAGTGTCTTTAACAGTGTCAGGGTCTTTCTTGAAAAGTAACTAAATCCACACTATCCGTAATAAGCCTGTGTTGCGATGTCTTTAGTTTCCTGTTTCACTTTGCAGGAAGCCCATATTTGGCTACAACCACCGGAGCTTTGCTTATCCCATGCAATCATTATAGAGATTAGGTATTTAGTCCTTTCTTTTATTCATACCTCTGAGGGCCAGTTAGTACAACATATATATACATTTAAAAAACATGTATAATTCATAAAACAAATTCACACTTTCTTGTCATAAGGGAATCATGTACTTAAGATGCCTCCTCTGTGTAAGTGAATATGAGTACCACATTTACAGAGTACCATATTTCGCTATAAATCAAACATTTTCAAACTCATAGAGGCACTAGATGATAAGCCAGGGATCATGAAAGTCGGATGTCTGTGGACAACTGATTGAAAAATCCATGGCAAAGCATCTAATAGCTGTTGAGCCTGACTATAGCCATCCACAGAGCCACATTGCTATGGTGGCTTTAAAGGACAATTAAAGAGTTTAAACCATTGTTGGCACACTTCATATCTTGGACATGAATGTATTTAGTATAACACGATATAGTCAACAAAGATCTACAAAGCTGGAATAAGGCTACATGAGAAGTAGGGCTGAAGTCTTGAATAGATTTCATAACGATAAATTATGATAGGATATTGCAGTCACGGATGAAAACCTTGCTTTGCATTTGATAAAACTCTAAATGAACTGAAATGTATGTATCAATTATTATTTGAACATCATTTTATTGCACATTTAAAAAATATACATGTTGCATCCGAGCTCCTTTTGTAATATGGTTGTCCAGGTTTGAAAGAAAAGATTACCTGTCCATGTGTGTAATTTGTTCCTGAATGACACATGTTCCATTTGATATGGTTGGAAGTGCCATGACACATAAATGCACACTTTCTAGTAGCGTTTCAACACAGACTTTTTCATTGCTAATCATTGACACATTTGAAATCATATTATTGTTAGAAGCATCTCCACTTCACCCATTAACTCAAGAGGACATCCTTTTCAGTTAGGCAATCCAAAGAGGAGGGCACTTAACGCTTTAAAAAGATCGAGAAACTCATACCACTCCAAAAAGCATCTTCCAAACTTCACCGAGCTGCTTTCAAATATTGAAATCGTAATACTAAAAAAAAACCTTGGCTGTGGGTTTCGTCGGTCTTCACTGTGGTCAAGATGTTTTTGGATGAGCGGATCGTGACTCTGTTCAAAAGGAATGCCCATCACACACTGACCTACTGGAGTGTTTTCTTCAGCTTTGGACTATGCATTGCGTTCCTTGGACCTACAATTTTGGACTTGCAATGTCAAACTAACTCAACACTCAGTCAGATTACCTGGGTCTTCTTCGCCCAGCAGTTCTGCTTGTTGATTGGCAGCTCTATTGCTGGTGTTTTCAAGAAGACGTAAGTATAATTCCCCCTACCGTCCAGGTGTGCATGAATATTCTGTAAACAATGGACCATCATTAAAAGAGTCTTTGTCTCTTTTTTTTTTTTTTAAAGGTTGTTCAGGGCTCTAAGTGCCTTATTTGTCTCAGCTCTCACCATCTCTATAATATTTGCCATAATCCCTGTGTGCAATAATGTTCTCGTGCTCGCCATCGCTATGGCTGTGTCTGGGTTTGCGATGGGCATTATTGACACCATCGCTAACATCCAATTGGTGACTATCTATCAGAGGGACTCGGCTGTTTTCTTACAGGTAAAAAAACCTGGAGTACCTTTCTCTTAATCTGTAGAAATACTGACACGATAGCGTGTGCATTCATTGAATAACTATCAGCAGATAAATATAGTATTATATAGAATTTAGTATGTGTTATTTGTCTTTTTTTACAAATATAGGAAGCTAGCACGAATGTTCTATGCAGTATGTTCAGCAATCTATTTTTCTAAAATTATGAGGCAATTATATTATGACAAACACAGTAAGTTATGTCTTTGACCTTTTGTATTCTACATTTTTGCAGGCTCTTCATTTCTTCATTGGGTTCGGGGCCCTAGTGAGCCCACTGATTGCAGACCCCTTCCTCTCAGAGACGGGCTGTGGGAATCACACGGGGAATGCGACAGAGATCATACATCCTTTCAGGAACATGCCGAGAAACAGTCCGATTGCAATGCACGATATAACTCAACTGCCCCACCCAGAGGGAGGGGAAGAGTCCAATGTGCACTATGCCTTCTGGATCATGGCGCTTATCAATGTAAGACACTAACCAAATTGTAGATGTGCAGGAGAAGAGTTATGATTTTTCTTAATTTCTTAAACCAATTTTTTTGTGTGAAAATAAAATGTGTGCCCCCTCAGCTGCCCGTGCCCCTTTCAGTCCTGTTCCTGATGTATCGGGAGCAGCTGATCCCATTCTGCCCCAGTGGAACTCCTCGTCTTCTGGACAAAGATGAATTAGCAATGGAGAACCAGCAGGGGGCCGAGGGCACGGATGTGGAGCAGAAGGAACATGAAGCTGGAGGTAAAGACTGGAAGAATAGATTTTTATACAGAACTCGTATGAATAATGCATACATCTTAAGTGGATTTTAAGTCAGTTCAGATGAAAGAAAATCAGAATAAATGCATTTTGTTCGCTCCAATCTGTCATTGTTGACCTTACACTCTGTTGCAGGTCATGGGGATATCTTCAGCTGCTGTAGGAATGATAACCTGAGGGGGTTGCCTGTATCCTTCTTTATGATTCATATCCTTGGTGGGGGTGTGCTCTTCATGACCGATGGCATTGTGGTGAGTGACGGGTGTGGATAAAAGATATGAAGTGCATTTCAGTTACTGTTCAACATACTTTAAAAAAAAATCCAAATAGAATATCTGCTTCACATAAAAATCTCATAATGGATCACATGAAAGAACCTGCCTTTTTCTTTCAGGGTGCATACGCTGGCTTCGTGTACACCTACGGTGTGTCACCACCTTTGTCATTGCCTAATAAGACAGCGGGTTACCTGGCCAGTATATTTTGGGCAGCCATCACTGTTGGACGTCTTTTGTCCATTCCTCTAGCGTACCGTTTCCAGCCTGTGAGACTACTCATGTTCAGCCTGGTAATGCCAATTAAACATTCCGAGTGCTGTAACATTACAGATTAAGCACATTTAAACTAAGAAGTCAAACACGTAATTGATAACATTCTCTCTTTTTGTTTTTACAGGCAGGTGCTATTGTTACTTGCTTGATGCTGCTTATTTTCTACGACAACCGCCCCTTTCTTTTTGCCGGGACCGGTTTATGTGGGCTTTTCCTCAGCTGCATATTCCCCTGTATGCTCGCCTATACTGAAGACATCCTTGATTATCAGGGTATAATGATGTTTTCACAGCAGATTCAATTAATTATAACACAGTAATGTAATAAAAGCAAGGAGAGGATATAAACCATACAATACTTTTTTGCAGGATGTGCAACGTCAGTCCTGGTGACATCTGCAGGAATGGGAGAGATGGTAATGCAGGTTGTGGTTGGCTCAGTAAGTCTAATTAATATCTTCATTATTTAAAAACAATTATGTGCAGAAGTCGAGAAATACGATTGTAATTGCAAAAATCCCTAGTGGAGATTTAGATTAGTGTTCAGTAGTTTATTGTTGGTTTATTGTCCCCAGATTATCCAGAACGGCAGCTACAGCTTCCCGCTATGTGGAGTGATAATCGCCTGCATTGGTTTTATTCTCTTCATTGCTCTCCTCTTGTTCAGTCGAATGCACCGAAATTACCTCACAGGTACAGTAACAACTAGCAACCTCAAACTGTGCTGCATATGGTTTGTTTTTATTATTTTCACACTCATACTACCTCTGCATCCCAATAGGAACATCGAAAAAGTCCACCATGGTGGAGGAACCAGCAACAGAGCAGAATGGATCTGCAAAAACAGAACAGAAAGAGGAGCCAGAGAGCAGCTGAGAGGAGCAGCAGCTGTGTTTTGTCCTCTACTGGCTACTGTAGAGAATAAAGTACAACAATCCATCTTCAAATATGTTTTACCAAAGACTACTAAATGAACGTTGTGTTGATGAACTTTTATTGTCCTGGAAATTAGATATGTGCGACATAGATAGCGTGCTGCTTCTTGTTACAATTTACAATACAAGGATTATGATGATTTGGAATACTTTTAAATATCTAAATTGTTTTGTTTTAATTGTAATCTCTTTTTTCATATTGTTCAATGTGTTTTGGCGTATCTTATGGCATATGTACTTGAATATATAAATAATGAATTTGTGTATTAAAACAATTCTACTGAATGGTGAACATACTGTAGTTTTGATTGATTCAAAGACAGTTCTGAGAGTATAATTTATATTCGACTACAAGGAAAATAATGTAGATGCATACAACACACATGCAACAATTCAAATGTTTATTTTTTTGCTTTCAAAATGGACTTGTCAATGTTACAGCCTCTGGTTTTACATTGTCAAACATCCAATGTGCAATGCGCACCTTGCACTCAGAGAAGTTGCCCCGTGAATACTAAGAACAAATGTAAAACAGAATCCTCCAGCCTTTGAACAGTTAACCAGTCAATCTATAACTTCAGATTTAGGACCAGTTGCAACAAGAACAGGAGGTGTCGAAGACCAGACCGGCAGCGCAGTTCTGAAAGTAGGTCTTTCCCATACTGCAGTTGTAGAATTGGTTCTTGTTTGTTGGGTCGGGGTACATGCCACTGGCTTTTGTAGCGCAGAACTGGCTGTCCATGCCCTTGGTGCCCGAGGCCCCACCAGAGGAGCTGCCTCCACTGGAGCTGCCTCCACTGGAGCTGCCTCCACTGGAGCTGCCTCCGCTAGTTGTGCTCATTCCTGCGATAGGAGGAAGGGGAGTGGCAGGAGCGGCGCAGGCTGGAAAACACCACAAATAGATGATTTAATAACATTTAATTTCCCTGAAAACACAATGGTTCACGCTGATCACAGATATTACAATTCTTACAAGCTTGTTCCAGATTAAGGCCCTGCTTGAGAACATTAATCAGTGGATATTTTCCCTGGTTACAGAAAGTGCCCATGTAGTCATCCATGTCAAGAGTCCACACCATGGCGCCTCCAAAGTTGTTCTTCTTCACCCAGTCAACCTACCAACGGACAGAAGGGGGCATTGTGGTAAGCATTTTGAAATAAAAAACAAAGCAACTTCATCTGACCTTGACATTGAAATACCATTACCACCATACTTTTTAGTTCCACATTCGGGAGAATTTGCAGTATGCCAGCCAGCATACCTTTCTGGCTGACGCACAATCCGTTACACAGTGGATACATAAGAAAGAGGGGAAGAGCTCGAGTCGCAATGTAATGACAAAATAGTATGCCCCAAGTGTAGGGCAGCTGGAGTAGCTACATTATAAAAGTGAAAAGAAAAAGATGTGATTTTAAAATGGACTCACACAGTAGCTACAAACTGCAACATTGCAAAAAATACAAAAATTGGGGATCGAATAAAAAGATTTAATAAGTTTGTTCCTGTCACTTTCTGCTGCAGCACTGAGGAGAAACTTTCCAATTTTATAATAATAATTCTTGACAGATAGAAAGCTTTTTTAGCTCGGAGCTTATTCATAACAGCCAACAGATTGGCCTGTGAAACGGTAAAACAAGTATTCTGTGCAGTTCTGTTCTGTACCTTGATCTTGAAGCTCTTCATGTTGTCATAGCCCACCCACTGGTTTCCCTTGTAGGCATATGGCACATCCTGGGCCTGGTTCCAAACCTCAGTTGCTCCGCCTTTCAAAAAGTCACAGATCTGTAATTTTACAAAGGAGTGCGTTAAGGACTAAGAGCTAAATTAACTTTTTAATATTGAGTCTGTTCTACTGTGTAGTAGACCAACCTGCTCTGCTATAAAGCATACAAACGAATATAAACACTGAACCACCATCATCATTCAAGATTAATTTCTTGTACTTAAGATATAAAAATATGCAGGAACCGTACCTCAAAGTAAGCGAGCTCTCCAGCCTCCTGTGTGTACTTTCCTGCAGTTCCAGGACCAGCAATAGCTGCTCCAAGACCATGGTTAGATGGGCTCTTAAGAGTGAATGTGTTGCCATATGTGGGGAAACCAACAATGAGCTTCTCAGCTGGGGCTCCTTGGCTCTTCCAGTAGTTCATGGCATAATCCTGGAACAAAGGAGAAGTTATACCTGCCTCTGGAACTACAAAGCTTTTGTGTATGCTTTAAATGTAGTTGCATTTGGATTCTTTATACAACCCAGGATGGATCATATATTCAAACACTATTTTTGAAGATGTTCACGCACTCACCACGTTGAAATAGATGAAGCCACCGTGATCCTCTGGGCTTTTGAAGAGAGGACTGCACTCACCAGTCATGGGGTCCCAAGAGCCATGGAAGTCATATGTCATGACATTGATCATATCCAGGGACCTGGGTGTGCAGAGGTTACATCAACAAGCCTATATTTATAGTTCAGCCTAAAAGGGATACATTCTGAGTTGTTCCCTTTAACTGTGATTTGTTATGTTGCAGTGGATAAGATTTGACACTCCACAAATATAGCTTCAAATGCTTACTGGCCAAGCTGGGGAATCTGATAAGCAGAATCAATGTTGGACTTTCCAGCCGCCACAGCAGCAGACATCAGAAGACGAGCCTTGTTGCTCTGCTTGGCCTCGTTCTCAAATGCAGCTCTCAGCTCCTGTCGATTTTCGACAGATGTAAAATATCTAGTATTTAGTCAAGTCTTTGTAATCCATAACTTGTAACATGGGCCAGACTGCGACTTTTTCATGGGCTTTTATATTCTTAAATGATTGCTTTCCTGTATATTTATACAAGAACACAGTGGAAACCCCATTGGGATTTATAGTAGTAAAATTAAGCCAAGCTTGAGCAGTGGCAAATGCTGTCAGGTATGACCTTATTTATAAGTTATTACATTTACTTATAATAATGTAATTCTAAGAGAAAAACACGAACAAGAAATTGAGCATTAAAACAGATGTAACAAACCTGCAGGAAAACGGAGTAGTACTGCTTGTCTGAAGGAGGCCCTCCTCTGTTGGCTGGATACTCCCAGTCAATGTCAAGCCCATCAAACTCATACTTTCTCAGGAATGAAATTACTGAGTTGATGAAGGTCTTGCGGTTTGCAGGGCTCAACACCATTTGGGAAAACCTAGTGTGGAAAAATAAAATAAATGTAACAAAAGATCCCCACTATATAGAGTGTGAAATCTGCTAATATCTGTATATGATCTCACCCTGTTGAGCCGAAGTTCCATCCTCCAACAGACAGGAGAGTCTTCAAGTTGCCGTTCCTGACAAGAAATCAGACATTTTACGATGCAGTAATACTAAAAGCCTTTCCTAACAGTGATCCATCTTTTTCTTTCCATTCGTTTAATTAAACTAAAGGTTGTAAGTGACTCACTGGTTCTTCAGGGCGTTAAACTGGCCATAAAGCTCCACATCGTTCCACTCAAAGGTGGCCAGTTGGTTGTTCTTGATGGTGGCGAAGGCATACAGGAGATGGGTACACAGACATGGGTCGATGTCATTGGGCATAAATATGGTCGGAGGTGGTCTGTACTGTGCCCAGTTTGTGAAGTAGCATGACAGTATGAAGGATGAACCTTTGAATCAAAACAAATGTATTATTTATGGACCAAACACGTATTGTGATGCAATTTCTCACCATAAAAAGGCAATTGAACATGCACACTTTATTCGATGTTCATACAGTATGTTGCTTACCGAGCTGGGCTTGCAGCAGCAAGGCCAGAGCTGTAAAGACAAAAACAAAGTCAAGTTATCTTTTAGTTAATGGATGAAAATACTATATTCAAATCCTGAAAGAAAGCACATTCAAGGAGACCCTTTGATGCACATATGAGAGAAAATGTTAAATCTTACCCGTCACAAAAAGTACTTTACCCATGACTACCGTGTACATGGAGGTCATCCAACAGGTGCACTCACTTTTATACCCTCACATTCTGCTCAAAGTGAACAGCCTTTCCACATCTGCCAAAACTGTGTTTATTTGCAAAAGATTGTTTCAGAGAAGATTATAAAATGTGTTCACTAAAGGAGTAAATTCTGATTACTTATCAGTCTCAGGCATGTTCTCCACATTTCTCCGTGTGAAGGACTCATTCAGCAAAGCAAACATAGTCTACAGTAAGGCCAATAAAATGCAGAAGATATGCTGAAGGCTTGTTTTAAAATGTACACAGACACGAAAAGAACAATAAGAAATGTGTCACAAATGTTTGTTTTGGGATAAAGATAAATTATTTTTCATCAGTACTTCCGGACCTGCCAAATGTGTAAAATATTATCTTAGCTCATGTTATCAGAAAGAAGAACATTTCAATGTTTAAAGAGGATTATTTATAGGCAAAACAAAAGAAGGAAAGACAGATGTCTCTTAATTTGTCTAAAATGATATTTTATCAAATATGACTTTAATGCTGTGCAGGAAATTGTCTCAGTTTAGCTGTGACATAAAGCATTAGAAGTCAACTCACGTAAACAACAGGCAAATTGCCTTTGAAAAACGACTTAGGCTGTGATACGTGATGATAAATATGTTTGACAACTCTAATCATGCTGAAAAGAGGATTGTGATATGTCATGAGGAGGGATTGCATACAAAAATCAAAAGCTATTACATAGTAAATGGATAACTTATCTAATCATTTCACTTCTATTATAATGCAGCCTTCTTTATCTTTAACAGTTTATTTAATATTTAAAGAAAGATATGCTGGTGTCAGCGGAAAACACCTTGGATGAACCGAGCCAAGCTGAGCTAGAATGAAAAACATGTTCTCTTCCAAAACAAACCTACTTTTCATGGCATGTCTCAAACAATTAAAACGCCGTCTGAAGGTGAACTGAAAGTGGGATGAACAATTTACAAAATTACTTTCTTACTTAATAGCGAAAAGAGTCAAATGTTAGTTCTTAACAAGGTCATTTCATCATCTAAGTACTTTTTTTTCTCACGGTGCAAATCAAATAGAAATCTATCACATCACAATTCATTTAGATTATACATCTGCTCAGTTAAAACGAAACTAAAGCTAACACTGTCACTTATAAACAGCTTAAATGTGAACACAACTTGTTCAGTTATCCTATAACACTATTCTATGCATAGGTTTAATAAGTCAAATGAAACCCAGTTGTGTTTTTCTAATCAGATGTGTCCCTGCGGGTGTTTTGTAACCTTCATGCTGCTTGTGTCAGCAGCATAGTTCTGCTTTTTCCATTGTGGGTTGACCTTGAAGGGCAAATTATGAATACTCCAGCTTCCTCTTAAACTCTGAGAATGTAATAATCTATGTCCTTTCTTAAACATTTAAATTGGTACAAATATTGTGAGGTTCATAGATGGTAAAAAGTAATGTTTTGGTGCATAAAGTTCTGTGATTCTTTTTGTAAAAGACGTGTCAGTCTAAATAAATAGGAACTCTTTTGCAATCTCAAACCTCTCTGACACAATCAGCTTATAGTTCGAAATGACCTCACGTCTCATCTTGCGGTGTTTGTTGTATAAATATTTTCCCTAGAAACATTGCTACAGTTACATGAATATGACAATTTCTTTGGAAAGGCCAATTCAATCTGGACTGCAACTATTGTAACATCGTTGTTGGTTATTCTTATAAATACTATAACAGAGTAATGTGTTAGCTGTCACTGAAATAAAAAAAACACAATAAACTGGAACAATTTGAACATAAAGAAAACTTGTGTCCGCAGGTCTGAGGTGCCCTACAGAAAGAAAACTACAGCCAAATAAGTCAAACGATTTTAATGTAATATGCACATAACATATACAGTGGCGCAAAATGGCAAATAAACCAATTAAAAGAATGAAAGCCTTAGGAGATACTCAGACAAATGCCAAAGATGTAAAGTAATGGGGCAAAAAATAATTTTTGCAAATTATACCAATAGATAGATAGAAAGATAGACAGATGAATGATTATAAAACGACAGTCTTGTCTTTAGTGCCACCTGCTGTTTAATTAAATAAACTGGCCGTACAACCCACCCTGCTGTTTCCCACACAGTTGGGTAAAAAACTCAAGAAAATACACAATAATAACAACCATACAAACACTGGCCAACGCAGACATTGCCTAAACCCCACGAACATCCTTATTGCACAACCTTACATGAGAGTAATAAGAGGAGGCCTCCACATGTTGCACACTTTGCTTCTGCTTCACATTATGATTTTCATCCGCACCATAAAGACCTCAGGGATATCTCTTGGCTTCTTTAATGGTAAGTAACATCAATTTTTCAAAATACATCTAATAGCATAGAAACTTGATAAGAACAATTAACTTGTTTGTTTTATGTTTTTGTTTTTTCAGCTCCAATTCTCTGTCTCTTCTGGCTGAGAGCCATGCATTCAGTGGACTCAGTCCAGTTGTCGGCTCCAGAGGTGGTAACAGGAGCATCCGGAGGGTCACTGACAGTCCCTTGTCAGTACGGCCATGAGTACAGAGAATATCCAAAGTACTGGTGCAGAGGACCAATATATAAGTGGTGTGAAATAGTGGTGAACACACTCCTGGGGGGAAGCAGTGACAGAATCTCTATATTGCTGATGATAAGATAGCAGGAGTCTTCACTGTGACTATGTCTTCTCTCAGAGAAAGTGATGAAGGTACCTACTGGTGTGTGGTCGCCAGACCTGGAATAAACCCCTACACTGGTGTCCGGATCCACGTCTCCCAACCAGGTAACTTTTACTACAACTGGGTTTGCTCAGGTACTTCATTATCATCAAATACTTTTATTTACATACCTTGAAAGACAAAAGCTTATAAAACTGACTCTAACTTGTAGACAAACCTCCTAAATCTTTCTGATAAAATGATTGTATTTGCCTTGAAATAAAAAAATGATTGTCTTGTATTTTTTTAATGTGTGAAGTCAAAGACAATTTTCCACTTTTTGTTACAGTTTGCTTTAAACGTCATTAAAATGTTCAAACATTTACATTTCATGTTCTCGTGTAAAGTGAAATTACAGACCAGTGTATGATATTTGGTCAGGGAATATTGAGCCCATATAATGGTATATAAACATAGTTTAAGGAGACAGGGGGGTTCAGTCAGTAAATCTAATTTGTTGTCTTTAAATGCAAAGTGTTCTTTTCCACAGCAATAACAACCACCACTCCCACCACCATACTGGAACGGTATGAAATGAGGTGAGAAGAGTCTACACAAGGACAATATACTCTCATTTCCATATTGTCCTTCAGTGAAATATCGCAACAAAATTATCACCCAGTTACCAATAATAAACATGTGAAAGTATATGCTATATAAGTAAATTGTTCTAATCCCAAATGTTTTTGTTTTTTTTTAAATAGTTGGTGAGCAACTCTACGTTGGATAGTCTTTATTGTAATGCTGTGTTGTTTGGTATCAACACACATCGCTGTTTGGAGGATAAAGATTGCGAGAAAGAAACGGCAACAACTACAAGTTCAATATGAAAACTCCAAAGTTTTACTTAGGTGTACTCCAAAGATCTGAAAGCCATGAAGAATACAAATTCCACCATGCATAAATGAAGGCCCCTCTCTTGGCAAGTCCTGCTTTTAAAAGACAAAACATTGACAAACAATACAGTTCAAGGGTGGTTATGTCCTACTCTATTTGTTGTTATGGAATACCAAAGCTAAGATGTTCTCTCTCTTTGCAAACTGTGACCTCCGGTTACACTCTATAGCCCAAGACAACCCCAAGAAAGGAAGGGTATAATATAGTCATTTATAAAGTATTAAAAACTGTAGGGAGTGGTTGAGTGAAAATGTGCTAAAAAAAGGAACCAAAAGCTGTGAGACGGAAGTGAAGAGATCTGCCGAAAACACTGTATTCTACTCTGGGTCATATCCGGGCCGGAGTGTGTCCCATATCGCTGATTACCCTCCAACAGCTTCCACTACCAAGCAGAAGAGTTACAAATCAAAGCTGAATTATATTAAAATTCCCCAGAAACAGTGAAATATCATATTCTATAAAAGAGGCAGTGGTGATTTGTGGTCCTTGTCAAGCAGATTTCATTACCCTGCCGGTTGTAGCTGCAAGAATGTGGGTATGCTGGTCTTTGCTTTCAGAGAAAACCAGATATTAACATTTTTTTAAGCCACCCCTGTAGGCTACAATCTAATGCAATAAGTCATCATTAAAACCTATTTTTAGGAAAGAATATAATGTTCAGTTTATGTGTCAGAGAGGCCCGAAGTACTTGGCTCTATTGGATTGTAGATTGATTGAGTTGTTTGTAATATTTTGTCCCCATTGTGTATGATAATGAGAGAAAACTAACAATAGAATCACCATTTAGGTCTTTTTCACAGCAGACATTTTGAATTGTCATGTTGGAAAAACAAGAGTGTTACTCATAAAGGTAATAATAGCTTATTTCTATTCAAAATACCAAAAAAGCTGTGACAGTGGGCCAGTATTCACAAGACAAACCCTAAAAATGAAGTAGCTTGATGGAATTCCTTAGCCATTATTCATTGTATTAGTTTTCTCTGTTACATCCTACATAAGTAGCTTTGCCCTCAAAACACATCACAGGACTAAGTAAACATACAAGAAAAGAGCATTTAGTCTTGTATTATTTACTTCTGTTTGTATTGACTAGCTCAGCTAAACACATACATAAAAAGGCATACATACAACAAACAAAGGTTGATACTCATATCACTTAATTTCTCTAATCCATTCTGCAGATGTAGTGGGGAAGAGGTAGAGCTCAGATTCAGGTGAGAATGCAAGGTGTAAGGAATTTAGGAGGTGATGTCACCATTTCTGCTGCAGGAACCTCTCTGCATGAACTGGTGTCAAGGCAGCCACCATAACCAGAGACGGTAGGCTTTCAAAGTAAAAGCACACATGGAAGACGAGCGAAGTATGGATGAAGGTGTTGGAATAAGCACGCATATATTTCATTTAAGTAAAAGTAGCAAAACCACTATGTAAAAACACTCATTCACAAGTAAAAATCCTGCATTCAAAATCCTACTTAAGTAAAAGTAGGCCTACATGAGGGTCAGCATCAACATATGGTTAAAATAAGATGAGATTTACTTTATTGATCATATTTCGGGAAAGTTTTTCTTCACAGCAGCATGGAAACAAGGCATTACACATAATGTGAAAATGAAAAAGTACAAAATAAACATAAAGTACAAAATAAAACGGAACTATAAAGTAAAATATGAATATTGACAGTGAAAGATATGCAACTACTGTAGACTACAGGTGCCGATTACAGCTTTCAACATTTTAAAGTAGGATATTATTAAGTGTGCTAGGCATAGCATATTCAATTAAATATAAATGTAAATGTAAAAGGTATAGCGTGAAGATGCTATTATTGTAATTTTACTGGATTGCAATTAAGAAAACATCAAATTAGATTCAATATTTCCAGTGGTGTAAAGTAACAACTAATTGCATTTATTCAAGTACTGTAGTTGTACAATTTTGAGCTACTGTACCATTTTGAGCTACTTTACTTGAGTAAGTAGGCCTACTACTACTCCACTACAATTCAGAGATAAATCATGTTATTTTACTATATGTATTTAATACTTTTAGTTGCTTTTCAGATTTGGATTAATGATGTGAATTATAATCATCTCATAAATTAATCTGCATATTGAGTAGGCCTATTTATACTTTTGGTACTTAGAGTATTTTGACGACTTTTAAGTAACATTTTGATTGCAGGACTTTCCTACAATCTGGTACTTCTTCCACCTCTAAAAATGTATATATTTTATCTACTTTGGTAACTGTCTTGTATAAAATGTGGTCTCAGATTTCGCAACGTATGCTTAATGTTTTACTTTGAAAGAAACTTCCGGTGTTCTTTTCTGTAGCTTCACAGTGGCAGTCTGGAGCTCAGCGGCTCACAGTTCCTGATCACTGGTGCCAACGCCCGGCGAAACAGAAAGCTAACGTAAGCTAGCACATATACGGAGAGAGACATCGGTAGGTAAAGCAAACATTTTATAACATCCCCGCCTGCGTTTATATTACAAATACAAGTTGGGATATTGTTTTCATGCTTCGTCTTGTAAAATGGGACTCCGATAAAGCAAATAAACCAGCGTTAGTTTACACGCTAGCATTAGCTAAGGTGTTAGCATTGTCTAGTGATTGCTAGCACTGTGTTAGCTTAGCTTGCTCACCGATACTCAAAGACATTTTCACTATAGTTACGCGTTTATATAAGTAAATAATGTGATATTGTGGAATTGAACCATAACACACATTGCCGTATTTACAAATACTAAAGTTATAAATGTTTTAAAGTGATTAAGCAAGTCAATAACATTGTCAATAGCTAGCGTTAGCCTCCAGACAGTTTTGGTGATGGGGTGTGACACCGAACCAGCTAATGCTAGGACCCAACCTTTCCTCTAAGACCCCCTTGCTTCATCAAAGCTGTCGAGAGCAGTTAAAAAACGGTAGACACATGCCTAAAATGTTAACACATGCCTAACATGTTCAATGTCCTAACGAGTTATCGCCTCTTCCAGCAGCTAAAAGCAGAATCAGAAAGCACAGAGATGCAGACCATCAAATGTGTGGTGGTGGGAGACGGAGCAGTGGGAAAAACCTGCCTACTGATTTCATACACCACCAACAAATTCCCCTCTGAATATGTACCCACAGTAAGTATGTTTGCTGTCTTCCACAACCAGATACATGCTTTATGAATTAAACATTATTCTTAAACGGACCATGACATGCCTTTCATTCTTTTATCACAGGTTTTCGACAACTATGCAGTAACTGTAATGATTGGGGGTGAACCATACACCCTTGGCTTATTTGATACAGCAGGTGAGATACTTTTTCATTGAATTGATATCTGTTGATGGTATGTCACATAATGGGCTAATTTGCAGTTTGGTCTCTTTATAGGTCAGGAGGATTACGACCGGTTACGACCACTAAGCTACCCCCAGACAGATGTCTTCTTAGTCTGTTTCTCCAGTGTTTCCCCTTCCTCATTTGAGAATGTTAAAGAAAAGGTGAGTACCAAGTGTTATCTCTTAAAGCAGTTGAGTTGATCATCTGCAAATCAACCAACATCCTACTCTTTCCAAATATTTGAAATTGAACTTCCTTTACAGTATGCTCTGTATTATAGTAATCTTCTCTGTGTTATTGAGTGATAGTCTTTTGATTGACTGAAGAATAATGACTTGAGTGAAAACTTCAACAACACATCTTTAAATGAAATAAAGTTAGACATGGTAGATGTTTTTTCTTTTTACTTTAATAACCCTGACCACGTTAACAAGCACACACTCATTAGGAGTAAACGTTTTGAAAAGTGTATGTATGTAATGGTTCATCTGACACACTTGGTTTTACGTTGACGACATGACTACGGATGTTGACTCTAAATGCAGCACATTGTGCTGTTCAGTTTGTTTTCCAACGTGCTGCCTGCATCATAAGACACTGCAAGGCATTGTTTACAGGGAATTGCACATGAGTGTAAAGTAAAGGGCATTTCAAAAAGCCAGATAACTAAGTTGGTCTGATTATAATAACCATAGATATATTTAGCCTGGTAATGTTTTACAAACAATATATATATGAATATGATTCAGCATGCATACTGTTTATATATTTCCTGAGGCAATTTAGGGAATATCCGGCTAACTATGGATCCTGTTTTATTAATTACCCTTTGACAATAGAAAGTCATTAATTATAGGCCGTTCAGGTCATGGTCATTAGATATTATTATTATTATTATATTTATTATAACATTTAGAAATCATTTCTGATAATGATGAAAATAATAATAATTCAAGTCCTTGCATGCATACGTAAACATGAATAACTGCTAACAAATATAAATAAGGTATGTCCTAATTGATGAACAAGTGTGGCACCATGAAAACAAAAGGCGCTTTCACACCGGAGTACTTTTCCCAGTATAGTTCCGATAGTTTTTGAACTTTTGCGTTCACACCAAAAAAATCCGGAACTAGAACCTTTTCACCCCCTTTTTAGTCCCTGCTAGAGAGCAAGTACTTTCATGGGAGAAAAAGGTTCCCATTTCCGATTGGCTGGGCGAATTGCAAACCACGCCCCGTAAAACTCGGAAAAGTTTTGTGAAGCCGCCATTGTATTTGCTGGCATTATTAGCATTAGCCCAGCGCACCAACGGAGAGAGACTAACTTATGGCAACACAAAAAAAAACATGGGAGCGGTGGAGTGATGAGGAGGTTTCAGCGTTCTAGCGATTTACTCGGAAGGCTTCAGTAGAAGCTGCCAGTCCCTAACTCCGGGGACTTCCGGCCGGGGACTTCGGGTGGCAGTATACGAAGTACACTAAAGAGTTCTGATGAACTAAGTACTGGGAACTAAGTACGGCAAAGTACTTGGTGTGAAAGCGCCTAAAGGTTCATTCCTGTGAAACATTCACCTCTCCTC